TAAAGAAAACATTTAATATTTGAGTCGGTTTCAAGTTTGTAACCAGAACTAGGGTTAAAGTTGATTCACTGTTGTATTAGTTTGGAAGTTTATAAATCAAAACTTTTTTGAATATATTTTATGTATTTATTTATTGTTTATTAATCAATTTAATATAGAAGTGGATTGGTCTCTAGTTGGTTAGTATCATATATATTTTTTATTTATTGCTATAAATTTGAGCAGTGGATCTCTTTGGGTAAAATGCGTTTTAACAGTTTTTTCAAAAAAACTATCACTGAAATCTGTATTTTCTCATCACTCCTAGCTACTAGGTGCGGTGACAGCTTTCTAGTTGCAGACAAACCTAAAGAAAAAAATTATAATAGTCACTGCAGTTTTTAAGCACATATTATTATTTAATAGCTTCACAGTTATTTTTCAATAAGTTGCAACTTAAACATTTAATTGGTAAACAAAATATAAAATATATTATAAACGATTTTCAATGATAATTCCATACAAAATCACTATCAATAAAAAATAAATAAAAATAATACTCCCTTTTTATTAAAAACTGATCAAATTCAGACAGCTTCACAATAGACAAAATTGGCCTTCGCGTTCACCTCAAATTACTTCCATGACGACGCGGCAACGGTCGTGTCGACCCGCGCTCGGCGCTGACAACGCCGCCGCCGGCGACGACTCTCCTTTTGCCGTCACACACGGCGGCGTCCGCCGTCTCCACCGCCCTGCAAGTGAACAAGCTGCATAACAGGAGCGACGCCTTCCGCGAATTGCTCCTCCCGCCGGGAACGAAGGCCGGCGATTTCCCCATGTCTTCCACTTTTTCTCTTGGAAACTGCTCATTATCCGGCGGCTGAGGGGCGGCGGAGACTCCAGCATCGACGAAAGGTTCCTCCTTTTCCGGCGAACTGTTGGCTTCTGCGGCAGATTCGGGAATGATTTAGGAGTGTTGAAGTACATCTTTATCTTGTGTCGAAATTGACAATCAGAGGTAGCGCTATCAAAAAATTACAGTTCGTGTCCGGCTCGTTTGCTAAGTAAAATGAGTTGGACACGAATAAATCTTTAAAGCTCGAATCATAAACGAGCTGAATACGAACAACTATTTGTTCGCTCGTGTTCGGCTCATTTTAGCTCAAAATAAAAAAAAAAAGTATATAATTATTTATATAATAATATATTATATATATTATTTATATAATAATATAGCATATATTTTTATATCTATATTTAAATTGTAACATCTTGTGTGGTAATGTACTACTTTACATCTATTTTATTCAATTTAATTTTAACGAGTCAATTTCAAGTCGAACACAAGCCGAACACGTAAACGAATATTTAAATCGAGTCGAACGCGAACGCACTGTTCACGAACAAATTTCGAACACGAGCCGATTTCGAACACAAACAGTCTCAAATGAGTCAAGTCTGAGCTCGCTCAAGCTCGGCTCGTTTACAGCCCTGATCAGACGACATTTGTTATTGTAGATATATTTTTGAGTAAATAATTTATGCAAAAAAAATATTCTAGCGTTATCATGTTGTTTAGGCAATCTAAAATCATGACATATGTCATGTATTTAAAAAAATAATAGTTATCTATACAATTATTATAAGGCGTTACATTTTAGATCAATATTTTTAAATTTATAATATTGTCATGAATGTTTTAACATTTTTAATATTTTATGCCATAATTTGAAGCTTGTTATATTAAAAACTTAGTCTAAATATCTTGAAATTAATTTTTTTTTAAGAAAATGGACGTAAATTATTGTATTTATTTATCAATTTTTTATTTTATTTCTATTTTTTATTTTTTAAAGAACACTTATATTTTATAAATACTCAAAATATAAAAAATATGTTTTTGACTGTTTTTAAAATCCTGAAAACCATGAGTCCCACGAAAGCCGCCGCTGCCACCACCGCTACTAGCCTTTGCAACTGTCGACCGCCTCAATCGGCCACGGGTGCCACCGACCGCCAACCACCG